GGTGTAGCATGCTCGACCAAGCACTTCCCCGGTTACGGCGACGATCAGCATCTCGTCGTCGTCGCTCTGCAGCTGCACCCCGCTCTCCTTCAGCTGCCCAGCTGAAAGCAGGTTTGCCTGTACTCACGGAACGTAGAGGACATCTAGGATGAGGACCTGCTTCCTCGCCTCCCCTTATAGGGCGATGGTTCCGCGACCCTCGACAGGCTGCAATGCCCCGTTGAGTCCGTGCATGTGCTTGACACCGTCGCTCGGCGCCATGTCGACGAAGACTGCCTTTGTCCCCATCAGGTGGTGGGAGCAACCGCTGTCGAGCAGCACCACCATCGAGTTGGCTTGCACAGCTGCCGCCACCGCCTGGAAGTCCTCGCCATCCTCCGACGCTAGCGAGACCGTCGGCTCCACCACGCCGACCATCGAGCACGACGCCTCGCCGTCGCCTCAGCCTTTGCCACTGGAGGAGTGGACGCCATTCGTCGACGACGTCTTCTTCGACATTTGCTTCTCCTTACGTGGCTTCGCTTCTCGATGGGGGCGATGACTGTTTGACTGATCGCGGCCTCCCTTGCTATCGTCCTCTTCTCTTCTACGTCCTTTGTCGACCATCCACCTCCGCTACCACCTCCGCCCGACTTTCCACGCTGCCCCTGCTGACGATTTTGCTTCATCGGTGCAGCGTAACTCGCCGGCGGAAGGATCTCCGTGGGCTGCTCTGCCTCCTGCATAGCCTCGTCCTGAAGAACGTAGCTAGTGATGAAGTCCTCGTCGAGGGACTCACGCATGCTGGGCACCATCATCATCCTCTTCATGAGGTTGTTGCTGCACGGCAGGCCCTTGACAACGTGGGTGATGTAGGAAGCCGTAGAGTATTCGACGCCCGCCATCCGCATCTCAGCTAGTATCCGACGAGCACGGTTGCAGTAGTCCGTCGCGGACTCCTGCTTCCCCATTCGAAGGTGTGGCATCTGCTCCTCCAGCTGTCCGATGTAGATGTCGTCCTTCGCCTGGTACGTCGACTGGATGAAGTGCCAGGCTTGTTGGCTAGCGTCCAGCTGCTCTGGACAGGACCTGAGCGCTAGCTGCACCACCAGCGAGCAGCACCTGAAGATGACCATGAAGGTGAGCAAGTGAGCAGCACGAAACTCCTCGCGCAACTCGACATTGTCCTCGGGAGTAATTGGCACGGTACCGACAGCAAAGCCCTTTAGCCAGACGACCTCCAACTGAGGTTCTATCGACTCTCTCTAGGTGATGAGTTCTCGTCGACCTTGCAGTGGTGTGATGGTGATTCGGTCTAGCAAAAACTTGAAGTAGCCACACGCCGGTGCGATCCTGCCCACTGTCACGTGCGTCGTTGCCGAGAGCCCTCCACCGCTTCGTAGTGGAGAGCGGCGTTGACCCGCGAGCTTCCTGCGGCTGCCATCAACCGCTGCACTCACGCCTGACTCAGGTCGACGCCACCGTCGACCTTGATCACCCCTCTCTTCTTCGTGCCATTGCTGCCACTGACTCGTGCACCGCCGTCGACCTCGTCGTCAACGCCACCTTTGTTCCGCACCGGTCGAGGAGAAGCAGTGTGGGAAGGGTGCTCCGTCGCCCACTGTGCTCGGATGCCCAACTCGGCGATCGTCAAGGGGATTGTCCCGTACTCCCCATCCGCATGGGGTTCCCTCGCATCAGCCAATCGTGCCTCCAAGGTGTCCGCTACGCCCGCTTCTACAACGGGGTCGACCATGGTGACTAACGCGGCTGTCGGCCTACGAACGACTTAGTAGGTGCAAAAGTCGGCTATTATCTGAAGGTAATTTGCGGGGCCGTCCACGCTCACCGCACCATGTGGAGAGGCAGTCTACAATATTCGTGAGCTAGACTATGGGGTATTGGCACGAACTTCTAGGAGTGATCGTAGCTTTGCATAGTTCCATAACACTTGCACATTCACGGGATAAATTGGCAAGAGTTTTCACTAGGCAAAGATTGCATTACAGAATGATTGAGCTGTCAACGGGAGTCGTTGTAAGGCCCCATCCTTGCTTGGGCGGAGCTGACTTTGTGGCTGGGTGTGAGGGGAGCAGCCGACATGCAATAGTGGGTGAGCTGGTTGACAGGGTTGGTCGACTTGCATGGGGGCCACTGCAAGGCCGCCGACTACGGGAGTGTGCCAACTTCGGGTGGTCGACTTGGGAGGTCGACCTGTGGAGGGCGTCGACTTAGTGACGCTGACTTCGGGCAGCCGACTCGGGTGGTCGGCTGACAGGAGTTTTGGTCGACCTGGAGCTAGTCAACCCGGAGTCATGTCGACCTGGTGGTCGACAAAAGAGGGGCTGACGTCGGCCTTGACAGGGGAGATTGGGGACGCTGAGCTGAGGGCGTCAAGGAGTAGGACGCCGAGCAACCGAGCGTCGAGCAGGAGGACGCTGAGCTTGTGCAGCTGGCGGCCGACCGAGCCGGTTGACCAAGAGTGGTTGCTCGGTCGACCGGGATACCCGGGCGACGTGTGCAAAGGTCGCCGAGGTAGTTCTGCGAGGCCGACCTCGGAAGTGGTATTCCGAGGTCGGCGTGGCTGGTGGGCGCAGTCGCTGGTGTGGAGTCGACCTGGGCGTTTGCGTTGTGCATGTGACACGGAAGAATGCACCAACTAGCTACGCGCACCTATGAAGCAGGTGCACCGTTGTCCTACGGGTGCAACGCTGTGCAGCCGACATGCTGCAGTGTTGGCGCACTGTGGACTTGCAACGTTGGCAAGCCGCGACTTTGCACTACTGGAGCGCGGTCGACCAAGTCATGCTAGCACGCGGTCGACCGTGCTGCGCTGGAAGTCGACTAGCAGCCTTGCTAGGTCAGATGTAGTCTTGCATGCCATCTTTGCTGCTACCATTCTAAATCCATTGTTGTGAACTTTTGGTAGTGGAACTCTTGCCAAATTACCCCATGAACCAGCAAGTAGTGCAAGCACGAGTAAACGACTAAGGAACGCAGAGATCACACGAGCACCCGTGCCTAGCCCGTAGTGTAGCTCCCGTTGTAGTATTTATCTCCGCATGGTGCGGTGAGCGTGGACGGCACACGACTTACGTTTCAGTAAGTTTGACGTAGTGGTCAATTACCTACTGTGTTCGTAGGTCGGCAGCTGTGCGGTAGTCACTATGGTAGGCTCCATAGTAGACACGGGGGTGGTGGACACCCTGGAGGCACGGCTGAAGAACGCGCGGAGACATCACGAGGCAAACAAAGCTGGCGACCTGCCCTAGGCAAAGGAGCATCCTTCTCGGCGTGTCTCTCCTTGTCCGGTGAACACAGAGGGCGGCGTCGACGCGGGCGTCAATGCCGGTGGTGGCCAAGTTGGCAGCAGTGCGGGAGGCACGTTGAGGCAGCGAGGTGTGATACACGCCGATGAAGTGGACGGCGTTCAGGCACGAGGAATGCAGTCGTCGGCGATGGCAGGCTCCTTGCAGGGCGAAGTCGGAGGACGTCGAAGCGGATGTCGACGACCCACTTGACATCGGGTGGGATTGCACAGAGCTACGATTACTTCAAGTTTATGCCGGACAGGATCTTGGTCACCCCGCCGCTCGTTGGTCGACCGGACATACTCACCTGTAAGGAAGCCATCGAGCCCCAGCTGGAGATGGCCGGGCTGATCGGCTTCTCCCGTGGCACTGTGGCGGCGCCGAAGGTGATCCATGCGGCGGGAGGTCTGGCAGTCGTCATCCTCGTCGAGGAGGAAACAAGCCGCGCAAGGAGAAGCAGTCGACCAAGTCGACCTCGGCGAAGGACGCCGACTCTTCTGCTGGCGGCAAAGGGCGAGACGACAAGGAGGCGTCGTGCTCACTAGTCGGCGTGGTGGAGCCGACTGACTCGCTAGCGCCAGAGGCTGGCGAGGACTTCCAGAAGGTGGCGGTAGCCGTGCAGGCGTACTTGGCGGTGGTTCTGCTTGACAGCGGCTGCTCGCACCACCTGATGGGGATGAAGGAGGCCTTCGTCGACTTGGAGCCGAGCGGCGACGTAAAGCACGTGCGCGGCTTCAATGGGGCGTTGCAGGATGTCCAGGGCTACAACACTATCGCTATGCAAGGGGAGGCCGGGAAGCAGGTGCTCATCCCCAACATGCTCTACGTCCCGGGCGTGCGAGCGAACCTACTTTCGGCCAGGCAGCTGAAGGAGAACGGCGTGAAACTACAGGAGGACGGCGATGGGATGCTGCTAGTCTCGACGGCAGAGGAGGTGCTCGGTTGGGTGACGTACACTGGGCATGTCCTCTGCACCGACCTGCGTCCCTGCTCGACGAGGTTGTGGTCACCCACGACGGAGGTCGTGGCCTTTCGGGCGATCGTCTCGATGACGAAGTTGACGCCGGACAGGCTGCATGCGAGGCTTGCATACGTCGGCATGGACACCATCCGGAGTTTGGCGAAGCACGGGGTCACCACTGGGCTGGAACTCAAGTCGGCGTCGGACGTTGACTCACCGTGTGTTTCGTGTGTTGGCAAGAATCTGGTGCGGCACACCTTCCCCGACCAGGGCTCCGACGCCGATAACGTGCTGGCTGTCGTGCACATCGACTTGTGCGGGCCGTTTCGTGTGGGTGCGAGGATGGCAGCCTGTACATCTTGTTGCTGAAGGACCGCAAGACCCGCTACGTGTGGGTGAGGCCGGTTGCCAAGAAGTCGGACGTGTTGCTGGAGTTCCAGAAGTGGCTAGTGTTGGTGGAGCGGCAGGCCAGGAAGTCGGTACTGATGCTACGCTCCAACCGAGGAGGGGAGTTCCTCGAAAAGGCGTTCACCGACTTCGTGGACAAGAAGGAGATCGTTCACGACCTGACCTGCCCATACACCCTGCATTAGAGCGGCATGGCGGAATTGGAGATGCGGACGGTGGTAGAGTCGGTGCAAACGATGCTACTGCACATGGGCGTGCAGCATCATTGGTGGCACCTCGCTCTGCGACAGGCCGTCTAGGTTCGCAACTGCCTTGAGCGGTCGACGCTGCCGCCGGGGACGATGCCGTACCAGCTGCCCACCGGGAAAAAGCCCGACTTGTCGCTGGCATGGGTGTGGGGCTGCATGGCACAGTTCTTGGTCCCCGAGCAGCAGCGTGGTGGGAAGCTGAAGCCGAAGGCCAAGTGGGGCCTTCATCTCGGCGTGTCGGAGGAGAGCATGGGCTGGGAGCTCCTCGACATCGCCGACAACCGGGTGGTCACCACGTCGGACGTGGTCTTCTACGAGGACATGTCGCTGGAGGTGTGGACGTTGGAGCACTGGCCGGCGTCGGGACAAACGCCTACTACCCCGCCGACCGAGACCTCGACGGCGTCGCTCCATTTGCTCGCCGGGGTCAGTGAGCCTGCAGCTAAGGATGTCAGGGATGTCCCCTCTCCCTCCCCCTCCCCTGCCCCTCCTTCCCCTCCCTTTGTTGCCAAACTACGTGGGCTGACTCCGGTGTCGGCCTCTGGCGATGAGGTGTGCAGTGGAACGCCGTCTCTGGCGCCGGCCAAGAGCATCGCCGGTGGCCGACGTGACGAGCAGCAAGTCGACGTAGGAGGGAAGTCGAAGTTGATAGGGGAGGAGCAGGTCGAGGAGGTGCAGCCGACTTGGGTGAAGCCGGCGAAGAAAGCACCAACAGGGCAGCAGTCGACAGGGGAGCAGGCAGCAACAAAGCCAACCAAGGAGCAGTCGGCGACCGGGCTGTCGGCAGGGGAGCTGACCATAGGGGAGACGTTGGCTGGGAAGCAAACCGAGGTGTAGCTGGACGACAAGGGCAGTGAAACCGGTGACGAAGGAGGGAACGCCAAGGAGTCCACCGAGTGCGACATGGTGGAGGTTCAGCTTGGACCCCGGAAGTCAGGCCGAATTCGGAGGCCACCCGACTTCTTCGTCCCCGCTGCCTTCACCACGGTGTACGACGTGGACGACGATGACCTGGCGTACGACGACGCCGAGGATGATGAGGAGTTTCCGGAGCTCGACCCCAACAGGCATGCCAACCCCAAGCACCGTTGGGATATCTCAATGACGACGGTGAAGAAGGCGTTGGCGAGCTGGAAGGGCCCGGCGGTGAAGGCCGCCATGGAGGAGGAGATCCGCAGCCTCATCAACATGGGCACGTGGGAGCTAGTCGAACGCACACCGGGAGCGAACATCATGAAGAACCAGTGGGTGCTGATGACGAAGTACCATATCGACGACAACGTCGAGCGCAAGAAGGTGAGGTTGGTGTCAGAACATATAGCTTACCTGTTTGTGTAGGCTACAGTGGGGTATCCCATAAGGGGTACAACACAATTAGGTTTCCTATTTGTACTCATTCTTGACTTAGTCAATCGATTTCCTCTTCTCACTGTTTCAAATGGTATCAGAGCGGTCTCGGGTTCGATTCCCGGTGTATGCACATGTAGGCCGTTGCCGCTGTGCTTAGTCCTGGGCCTCCCAGTGTGGGGGGGTGTCAGTAGAGCTACACTGTGAGATACCCGATCGATCCTAGGGGGGTTACAGGCGCGTTTGCCTGGGGGGTTATGGGCGCACTGACCCGCTACTGAAACAAGCCCTTTTATCCCAATGGTCTAGTGGTTGGGATTCTGACATGGTATCAGAGCAAAGGTCTCACTTGCTGACCCCTCTGGGGGTCCTGTCCTGTCTCACTTCTCCACTGTCCTCCCGTGTCCGGCTGCCCCTTCGGGCACCCTGTCTGGTCTGTACCTTCCCTCGTTCTCTACGAACTTGGTGAGTGGTGCGGACCTACAGGATGCGGGGGTTCACCAGTTCACTCCTGCGAGGCGACGGGTGACCCACTGCACGGACGCAGACACAGGCCGACACCTGGCCACCTTTTCGCGTCGGCCGGGGTCGAGTCTCTACACCCTGACCACTTCGTCTCCTCCTGTCCCTGCGTCTGGTCGGGTAGCTGCGTCAGGTCAGGTGTTTGCTGCTGCTTCCCGGTCAGGTCCTGAGTCTGCCCCCTGTTCTTGTCGCCTCCTGTCTCACGAGACTCTCCTGTGGCACCACCGTCTTGGCCACCCCTCCTTGCCCCGTCTTCGGAGCATGGCTTCCCGTGTCCTTGTCTCTGGTCTTCCCCAGTCTCTCCCTCCTCTCCCCTCCGGGCCAGGACCTTCCTGTGTCCCCTGTGTCGAGGGTCGCCTCCGGGTTACTCCTCACTCCTCCCACTTCCCCCCGACAGAGGCTCCCCTGCAGACGCTTCACATGGATGTGTGGGGCCCAGCCCCCGTCCGTGGGCAGGGTTACGAGCGCTACTTCCTGTTGGTGGTTGACGACTACTCGCGTTACACCACAGTCCTCCCCTTGCGCAGCAAGGGTGCGGTCACTGAGGTGCTGATCGACTGGATCCGCGAGGCTCGTCTCCAGCTCAGGAAGAGCTTCGGCTCGGACTTTCCTGTTCTGCGTCTGCACTCTGACAGAGGCGGAGAGTTCTCTTCTCGCCTTCTGCGAGACTACTGTCGTGCACGGGGGATCCGCCAGACCTTCACGCTTCCGGACTCACCACAGCAAAATGGGATTGCTGAGCGCCGCATTGGCATGGTCATGGATGTCGCTCGTACGTCCATGATGCATGCGGCTGCCCCCCATTTTCTGTGGCCGTTTGCTGTGAGGTACGCGGCGCATCAGCTCAACCTTCACCCCCGGGTCTCTCGGCCTGCGATGTCCCCAGTCTTGCTGTGGACAGGGAAGGTTGGCGATGCGTCTGTGTTCCGTGTCTGGGGATCCCGGGCGTTTGTCTGCGACTTGTCTGCGGACAAGCTGTCCCCCCGTGCTGCTCCCTGTGTCTTCCTTGGCTTCCCCACTGACGCCCCAGGGTGGCAGTTTTACCACCCCTCCTCTCGTCGTGTTCTGTCCTCCCAGGACGTCACGTTCGACGAGTCAGTCCCCTTCTACCGTCTCTTCCCCTACCGCACTCCTTCCCTCCCCCCTCCCCCGGACTTCCTTGTGCCGGTTCCCCCCCCGGTCGACCCCCTCCCCCCTCAGGTTCCTGCCCCCTCAGGTGTGTCCCAGGTAGACGCCGTTGACCCGGTCGAGGTTACTGGTGACTCTGGTGCTGCTGCGGGTGCTGAGCCTGGGGGTGCTGACTCTGGGGGTGCTGACCCTGAGGGTGCGGGGCCTGGGGGTGCTACTGCTGGGGGTGCTGGGCCTGGGGGTGCTACTGCGGTGGGTGCGGAGCCTGGGGGTACTGAGCCGGGGGGTGCTGTGCCTGGAGGTGCTGAGACTGAGGGTACTGAGCTGGGAGCTGCTGAGCCTGGGGGTGCTGCGCCTAGAGTTGCTGAGCCTGGGGTTTCTCCTACTGCTGCGTCTCGCCGGGAGCCCCTCTCTCCACCGGAGCTGCGCGAGTGGTTCGCTCGCCGCTGGAGGCGTGCTGCTGAGTCTGGAGGTGCTGCTGGAGCTGGAGCTGGAGCTTCTTCGACCGTCGAGGGTGCGGGTGCTGCCGGTCCCGGAGCTGCTGGACCTACTGGTCCTCCTGGAGCTGGAGCTGCTGAGGGCGTTGGTGCTGAGCCTGCTGCTGTTGGACCTGCCGCTGGAGGTGTGGGTGGCGCTGGTGCTGTCGCTGAGGGTGCTGGTGCTGTCCCTGCTGAGTCTGGAGCTACCGCGCGGCCTCGGCCATACTTCGTTCCGCTCCTGCAGCAGGTTCTTGGTCTTTCTCCTCCAGTAGAGGGTCCACCGCCTGTCCAGTCGCAGTCCCTACTGGAGCCTTCCTCTCCGCTGCCTGCTCCCTCTCCTTACACTGGTCCTACTGGAGGTCTTGCCGAGCGTCGTGAGCCTGCGTCTCGTCCCGCGTCGCCTGTTCGTGCTGCTCGCGCTAGTGGTCGCAGTTCGCGTCAGCGTCCTCCTCCTGTCCCTGGCACGCACCGGATGTCTCTGCGTCCGTCCACTGCTCCTCTGCGTGCCCCTTTGCCTTCTCCTCCTGAGTCCTCTCTTCCTGCGCTTGCCGACCCTGAGTCGGACTCTCTTCGCGCTGCCAGTCCTACTGTCACGCGTCTGCTTGCTACTGTCGTCACTGACCCCTCGTTTGAGTCCACTGCTGCGTCTGCTCTGGTCGCTGAGCTCGTTGACTTTGCTGCTCGCTGTCGTCTCGACTACGCTGCTAGTCTTGTTGCTGAGTCTGTGTCTGGCTGTCCTCCGTCCGTCGGGGGTGAGTGTGCTCTTGGCACGGACGTCCTAGAGGACAGGCAGGAGGAGTTACAGTGTCTAGCGGCTGCTTCACCTCATCTCGCGTCTGTACTGCTTGCCCCTGAGGGAGACCCGGATGCACTAGACATCCCGACTCCGCGTTCTTACGCGGAGGCCGTAGAGGGTCCCTACTCCTCTCAGTGGCAGGCAGCTATGGATGCAGAGATGGCTTCCTGGAAGTCCACAGGCACCTACGTTGACGCAGTTCCCCCTCCTGGGGCGAACATCGTCAGTGGCATGTGGATCTTCAGGGTGAAGCGACCGCCGGGCTCTCCACCTGTCTTCAAGGCACGGTACGTTGCTCGTGGCTTCAGTCAGCGGCAGGGAGTTGACTACTTTCAGACCTTCTCTCCCACCCCGAAGATGACCACTCTTCGGGTGCTGCTGCACATAGCCGCTCAGCGCGACTACGAGCTTCACTCTCTCGACTTCAGCACTGCGTTCCTGCAGGGTAGCCTGCACGAGGAGATCTGGCTGCGCCGTCCGCCTGGCTTCACTGGGACTTTCCCTCCTGGCACCCAGTGGAGCCTCCGACGGCCAGTCTACGGTCTCCGCCAGGCACCGCGTGAGTGGCACGACACACTGAGGACTACGCTTGCGGCTCTTGGGTTTGCTCCTTCTACTGCTGACCCGTCGCTGTTTCTTCGCACCGACGCTTCCCTGCCGCCGTTCTACATCCTCGTGTACGTCGACGACTTGGTCTTTGCCACAGCGGACACTGCTGGACTCGCCTACGTGAAGTCCGAGCTGCTGAAGAGACACACGTGCACAGACCTGGGTGAACTGCGCAGCTACCTTGGCTTGCAGATCACTCGGGACAGAGCACGCCGCACCATCACCTTGACTCAGTCACACATGGTGCAGCAGGTCCTTCAGCGCTTCGGCTTCACGTACTCCTCGCCTCAGGCCACTCCTCTGCCTACTCGCCACTCACTCTCAGCTCTGCCTTCGGATGAGTCCGTAGAGTCGATTGGTCCGTATGCAGAGCTTGTTGGCTGCCTCATGTACCTGATGACCTGCACACGACCCGACCTCGCATACCCTCTGAGCATCCTTGCACGCTATGTTGCTCCTGGGAGACACCGACCAGAGCACATGGCTGCAGCGAAGAGGGTATTGCGCTACCTGTGCAGTACGTCAGGCATGGGGCTAGTGCTTGGAGGGCGCAGTCCAGTGGTCCTTACAGGCCACGCGGACGCTTCTTGGGCTGACGACCAGGCTACGCAGCGGTCGTCACAGGGTTACACCTTCAGCCTTGGTTCCGGCTCTGTCTCGTGGCGGTCTACTCGCTCGTCTTCGGTTCTCGGCTCCAGTTGTGAGGCTGAGATCTACGCCGGGGCCATGGCTGCACAGGAGCTTCGCTGGCTCACCTACCTGCTGACTGACCTTGGAGAGCCGCCTCGTTCTCCTCCAGTGCTGTACGTAGACAACAAGGCCATGCTGGCCTTGTGTCGAGAGCAGCGCTTGGAGCACAGAACGAAGCACATTGCTCTCCGCTACTTCCTTGCTCGTGAGCTGCAGCAGCGTGGTCAGTTGCGACTTGCGTACGTGGCCTCTGAGGCCAACACTGCTGATGTGTTCACCAAGGCACTGGCGCCTTGTGACCATCAGCGCTTTTGTACCCAGCTGGGTCTTGTGCCTGTCTTGCCTCACTTGCTCTCTTCTTGACTTTACTTGTACTGTGACATATATATACCTGCTCTTGCTTGTCTTGCTTTATATATATGTCTGTACTCTTGCATGTGAAGTGGCCTTTGGCCTTGCTCTAGTGCTCGGACTGTGTGGTGACTTTGTGATCCACCCCGAGCTTGCTTTGCTTTGCTTGACTGGTCTTGTGACCTCTTGTTCTCCCCCACTTTGCCTATGGGGGTGTGTCAGAACATATAGCTTACCTGTTTGTGTAGGCTACAGTGGGGTATCCCATAAGGGGTACAACACAATTAGGTTTCCTATTTGTACTCATTCTTGACTTAGTCAAACGATTTCCTCTTTTCACTGTTTCACAGTTGGTCGTGAAAGGCTTCACGTAGGTGTACGGCGCCGACTACGACGAGACGTTCGCGCCGGTGGGCAGCTACGTCACGCTGAGTATCTTCCTCAGCATCGTCGCCGTCCTCGACCTCAACCTGATGCAGCCCGACATGAAGAACGCCTTCCTGCAGAGCAAGCTTGATCAGGTGCTATACATGTACCAGCCGGACTACTTCAACAATGGGACCGGCCGCGTGTGCAAGCTTCTGAAGAGTCTCTACGGGCTGAAGCAGTCACCGCTGTT